GGGCCTAACAGGGGCGATGTTCAGCCGGGGTTGCGGGTCAAGCACAATAACCTCGACCTAGATCTAAGAGAAGGAAAGGGGTGGTTTTTATTCAGTAAGCGTCTGAACTTCTCTCTCGACTTACCTAGGATGAGAGAGAGAAGAAACGATTTCCCCAACAAAAAACTCAGTCAACAAAGATTAAGACTACCTAAAATAAATCCATTATATCCTTTGAACAGCTTTCTTAATTATCAAGTTGAGCGTCCTTCGTCGTCTGTTTATTTAATCACAAACGACTTTTGTTTCGAATCATGAAATTTAAAACGTAAACATAAGTAATTAAAGCTATGTAGGATGGGCCATAAAATTTCAGGAGTCATAAAGTAGGTAGTACTTGCGACATTTACATCAAAAATACATTATAGACGCCGCCATATTGAAATTACAATTTACGATATGGATCGTAAATGTTCTAAAAAGTTGGAAGGTTGGTGCAGTGATTGTATGGCTGGCAGCTGTATGCTAAGGCTTCATTTCGAGGGGATAATCATCAGATATCGTCTCTCGCCTAGGGTCAAGCGAGTAGAATGTCACTCTTACTGACAGAAAGCCCCCCGTTCCTGCTCCTGATCTAAGTCAAAGCCACGGTCTATTGCGCTTGCCCCGCAACTCTCGCTGAACATCAGCCCTATAGAGCCCCATCTGTGTTGGTCTATTGGCTCTTTGAGGCACGTAGAACGCTACGCGCCGTACTCTCGGTATATCTCATGAGATTTTTAGTATTCATAAGTACTGCTATCTGTAGTTATTTTATTAAATATAGTGACTTACTAACGTGAAATAACTGATTCCTGCTAGTTTTAAGTTACATCAAGACTTATTCATGAGGGGTCTGTGCGTCGCGGTGACTTTGCTAGCTGTTAATATTTCTGTTACCTCGTGAGGTAGCCTTATATCATTTTCTTGTAAATATCATAACACTTAGGCAGGTAGCTAAGTAACCTGCTACATGAAGAGCTAGGTTCCCGAAAGTATTTTGGTTGCATGAAAGTTTTCCTTATTTAGTAGCGCGGATTAATCGCTTGCAGTAGATTTGCTCCTTCTTGGATACAAATTTCGATATAAGTTTTAATTTTTGCAATGGAATATATATATATATATAATATGAAATTGCCGGACGCAAATGAGCAGAGCAGGATTAACTAATGGTAAGCAGTTGGTGCCGAACATAGACACATGCAATAACCAAGACCAAAAATAATGCTTAAGCCCATGGCTTAAGCTTATATCCCCTTATCCTCCTCTGGTGTTACGAGTCGATTACTTGCCATCCTATTATAAGTTAAAAAAAATCCTAATACCCAATATTAAATTCACCTGAACATAAAAACTCCATCGGTAAAGAAAATAACTCGGAAAGTTCATTAATCATAATTAATAGAACATACAAATAACATTAAAACGTGGTTCACGTGTTGGCTAAACTTTCTTAACTTAATTAACTTGTTTAGTTAAAGTTTTAATTGTACACCGTTTCTGTGTATACTTCGCTCAACTAATATGTAGTAAACTGCTTTTTATAGTTTGGTGTTTGCGGCGAATTTTGACTGAGAAGTTGTGGTGTCCGAAGGTTAAGGTGCCAGCTTTTCATACAAAATGTTGGTTTGAAATCTGATAGAGACCAATGTCACTATTTGTGAGCGAATTGGACACCACTGACAAACGATGAAGGTGAGGTAACTTGGTCTTATAATTTCTTGTTTTAATTTTGAAGTCGCCAAACCTTGAGCAAACGTGACGATTAATGCTTATCTTCTGCGTGTGAGAAGATGTACTTGCCCAGCAGTGAGCACTTATAGGCTGGTTATGTGATGTTTGACTGAGTTTGTGACCATGTGGCGGCAGCCATGATTGACAAGCACTGTTCTTTTGGGGAGTAGGATGGTGTTAGTAGAAGTAATGCTTTTTTTTGTGAAGGGAAAATCATCAAATGACTTCTCCCGCCCAGGGCCGGGCGGGAGGGAGTGTCAGACTCTTACTGACTAAAAACCCCTCTGTTCCTTCTCCTGCTCTGGGCCGAGGTCGCGGTGCCTTATTGCGCTTACCCCGCAACCCCGGCTGAACATCAGCCCTTTAGGGCCCCGTCAGAAGTAGTACCTGAACATCGACTAATTTTCTATTACTGTTTTCATATTTGTCGTATCAAATATCAAGCCAAACTTTGGTGCAAATATTTAGATACACTCTGTTCGATTTTTTCTGGATGGAACTCTATCGATAAACGCTAGAATGCTGGCTAGAAAGCTTAATAGAACGCTCGCTAAAATGATTGCTTGCTAAAACATTTTTTCTTACGTTCTTACTCACTTGACGTTATTATTGCTTTTCTAGTAAAAACTCTATTTTACTTGAGACTTTATCAGGTTTACTGTAATTGAAGAAGTTGGTTGAAAGTGTGCGAGAGCTATGCACAAATAGGCCGGCTTGGAGTGATACCATGGCCTCACGGAAAACTAGCGTAAGACTACGTTTGCATTGCAGTGTGTTTTACTTTATGGGTGAGATTATCGGAGGCCTTATTTTCGCCTCATATTGCCGTTTCCAAATCCACCAAATCTGTAAATCCATAATCTTTAAAAAGCCTCCAAAATCTTTAAAATACTTGAAACTCCTCTTGGTGTTGCAAATTGCCATAAGCGGTGACGATTGCGTACTACCACACATAAAAAATGTATGAAAATTATATTTCTTATCAATTTAAGGGTTTACAGGTATAATGTTATTTACCTAATACCTGTCAAAATAAGGACAATATTGATAAAAACATATTTAGAGGCAAGATGACAAACAAATCAAAATTGTTGCCAACAAATACGTTACAAAGTTTTAGTTGATTTATCCTGTTACGGTGTTGGTGGAAGGAAAACGTGGTTATTCAGTTTCTTGTTTCTATTTTAAGGGGACAAAATAAGAATGGCAATAATTCATTTACCGTATTGATCAACAATCGTTTTCAGTAGAGAATTGGGTAGTTTCTTAGGCCAAAAATAAATTAATTCGACGTTTTTAATACTATAAAATATTAAAAAATAACTATAGTTTTATTCATCGATCGATCGACACACTAAATTTTTGATATTTTTTAGGATTTTTTTAAGAAAAAAGTAACGCATTTGACGCTTAATAATTATGACGTCATAACTCAGTGTTTCATACAAATTTCATAGGAAAGTACCGTTTTTGACATTTGGATAAAATGTTGAATTTGTCTAGTTGGAAACTACCGCATTCTAATTGTAAAGACAAAGAAGAAGTGAGAAGAGCGAGGGAGAGAGAGAGAAAGAGAGGGGTAATATTTAAAGTGGAACACCTCTGTGAAACAACTCTTGCGTGGTGTATTGTCATAAGAGTGAGGTTAAGTCTAGTTGTTTTCCTTCCTTTCCCAATCCCTAATTCTCATTTGAATTAGGTATCGAGACACTTGTACTTTCTCCGGTGTTGTAGATGTCCTTTGTTCATGTGCGGCGTCGATTGCTTACCATCAGGTAATCCATGTAGACGTTTGCCGCTTTATACCTTCTTTAAAAAATATCGTGTCTTGATGTACTAGAAGTATAATTATGATTAAGTATACTAACGCGTCACATGACACTCTTGTGTATTTTCAACCATAATAAATGAAACCGAATATACAATTTAAGTGTGGAACAGCCAAGCTTCGACACGAGTGGCTCGACCGGAGTGATACCACGGCCTCACAGAAAACCGGCGTGAAACAACTACAGCGTTGTGTTTCGCCATGTGAGTGAGGTTACCGGAGGCCCAATTCCCCACTGCCCATCCCTTCCCACTCCTTAAATATCCGAAATCCTTATCACCAAAAGGCCGGCAGAGCAATCGTTACTCCTTGGTATTGCGGGCGGCGCCGATTACTTACCATCAAGTAATCCGCCTGCTCGTTTGCAACCTATGCCATAAAAAAACACGAAAGGATATTTCAGTATTTTGTCTGAATCACTACTTTCTCGGGAATTGAGCCCGAGACGTCTTGCTTCGAACCTTTCAAATAACAAACAAGGTGTCAAAATTAATTTGTAACTCACTCAATTTGTTATTAAACGTTTGAAAAACAAACAGGTTTAAGGAAAATAACATTTTTTTTTTGTTTATCCCGAAGATTAGATTATGTTTCAACACAATTAATGTTTGCGTGATAAGAGCACAATACATAATCTTTGACATTTATGTTATTTTTAACTTATTCATGTGTGTGTGTGTGTATGGATCATTCTTGATCTTCATCATTCTGAGGATGTCACTTGTTGGTGGAATGCGTCAGGACCCGAGCTGTTAGAGAGGTGCTGATAAATACATTTAAAATTAATTTTATAGGTGTTGATGTTATTCAAATTATATTATTGGAGCCTGTTTCGAATACAGCTATTTTACTTTAAAAATAGTATATAAGGTTTTTAAGTCGGAATAGCGTCAATCTTGTATTAGGTTATAATGACGCTGGCCCAATAAAGCCCCTAAATTTATAGAAGATAGTAAAAAAAAGATCCAAGTATAAGATTTTTGTTTTGGCTAATCTTCAAAATTAATCTAAAGCAATATATAAAGGAGATAGTCCATAACACAGTCTTTTTTGAGTTGGAAAATTCCTCTAATGACTTTCCCCGTCCAGGGCGGGGCGAGAGAGAGTGTTAGATACTTACTGACTACAAAACACCGTGTTCCTTCTCCTTCCCGTGCCGGGGCTGCGGTATTTGCACCCATAACCCAGTCTTGCCATATAAGCAAAGAATCAACATCACAAGAACGTCTCCAGAAGGTGCGTTTAACGATGGGATCAGGTACCAGGTCAAGGCTATTTTAGTTACTTACCTAATTGATATTTGAGCCCACAGTCACAGCATTAGCTGTAATTAAAACGACTTTCAAAACAGCAACATAGGTGATTTATAATGATCATTCATCATTAACATGACAACAGGGTCTAAAATGAAACGGCCACACATTACAGATTTTCATTTATTTCAGTGATTACTGATTACATAATTAGTAATAACATACGATACCTTATAACTATTGATTCTAAAAAAATCATTTCCAATATCACCCTTACCTAGTTAAACGGATAAATCCATTAAAAATTACAGTTTAGTACTTCTTAATATTAATAAATTAAACAAAGGTAATTAATTAAGTGAAATATTAAGATGCTTTAACGACTAACACGTCGGTTCAAAATGTTATTATGACCGTTCGCAGCTTGATTGTCATTTATTTCAGGACCTCGGCCCACGAAAATCTTTGGTTCAATAACACAGAGCAATAAGGAAATAAAATTAATAAAAAAAAAAATACAAAACAATAAACAAGAGTACTCCCTTGAAAATTCTCCCTCATGCTAACATAGACATTAAAGACAGAATTTGCCACTGCATTTATAAAAGTTCCCTTAACGTTCACTATATTAAATTTTAAACAATTTATTATTATAATTCTAAGGTTAAACTCTCTGAATTGCATCTTTTATTATACTCATTAACAAACAACTGTTGATTTTCTCGTTACTTAACTAACACTACTTTACTTACTAAAAATTCTAATTTTTTATAACTATTTTTATGTCTAAAGGATTGTTGAACTTAATCGTGAAGAAGAGATGAAGTAAGGATATATATTATGGAGAGCAGAAATGTTCAGTAAAGATGAAAAATAGTACGTATAAAGAATTGACATAGGTTCCGTGGAAGATGACGCGGAGAGGGAAGCTGTGACCGACGTAGAAAGCAATCCAAATGACGATACTGAAGGTGTTGAGTCGCGGGTCGTGCACGATACTCGTGGACTACATACTAGCGACGAATCATCTAAATAAATTAAGAATCATTTCACAGCCAGAATGATTTTCCATACACCGTGTCTAGATATGGTAGAGGAAGTGGGTTTAAATTTTAAAAGAGTTTTTTTTTAAGTTTAAAGTTAGATTTAATATATTTTTTTAATCTATAATTATCTACAGTGCGTAAGTTTAAATTTTTCTATTTTAATCAAAAAATTAGGATTTAATTCAATCCGTTTAATTGGAATGTAAGATTAGTAGCGCTACTCGGACTGTTAGCTTTCCAAAATTGTTCAGGTTCGAATCGAAATTTTGACCGAACAATTTTCGATGACAGTCGCAGAAATCTTAGAATACGAATTTAGAAGAATTTTATATGGAAACTACGTATCGCTTTATAAGTAAACTTTCAATGAATTAGGAAGAACTTTGTCTGTTTAATTTTGGATTATACTAAGCTAAATGAGTGCTAGATCATTTAAATTGTATCTTGATAGTTGGAGTTTAAATACTTAGTTTAAATAATGATTAGAGGGTGAGCTGAGCTGGGGTGAAATTATATAATGTTAGAGAGCGGGAAATTAATGAGAGATTTGGCTTAATAGCGATTATATTTAAGAACAGGAGAGTAGAAGATAGCTAATAGCTAGAAGCAACTAGATCAATGGTACCATAGAATGTACCGTGTTCATAAAAAAGTATCCTAACCAGCTTAACAATAAGTTTCAAACAAGATTATGTCGCATTACTCTTAAATTTACATTTTTTTTTTCATCTTCTCTACCTTTTTTATCGTTTAACTTTATTCATTCTACGTTCCCTTTATTGCCAATATTTTAACATTTCTAATCCGTGATTCAGCGAATATGTATTAAGTTGTGATTTGCAATTATCCCTATAGTTTAACATTATATTTTATTAAATACGAAGATTCGTGAGCTCGGAGAATCTTCACATTTAATTGTTTTTATTTTATCTTCTAAACTTGTGGCAAAGTCTGTCGTGAAACCAGCATCAGTGTCTCCAGACACTTCGACTGGTTCGATATAGAATCCATCCCAAATCCATACAAACAGATGAAAAAGGAAGTTGCTTATATTCGTATGGAACTGCATGGGTTCTTTTCAAAATATATTATATAAACTCTAAAACAATTTTCAAGGTAATACTCATTCAGTTATACTTCAAATAAATTATAATCGGTTGTCAACGTTCAATTAAGATTAGCTTACACTTTCCACATTACAATTTCTTTATCATTCATTTTAACTTTCCCAATAATCTCTACCGATAGTGTCATTTCCGAACATTCTATTACTAGAAATACAAAATTTAACGTATTTACAACCATTTTTAAAACTTTATTTTTAACAAAAACATTCATAAGTACATCTTTGCCTCGCGCATAGTCTAAGTGTACATTCTTTACATTAGAATTATAAGGGACTAGATTCGTTTGGAACAAAACTACGTAAACAAATAATAATGAAATCAAAGTAACTTCGACGCTTGCCTCTAAATTGGTGGTTACTACATGTTTATATTGTCTGGCAGTTATGTCTTCTCCATCGTCTGCATCTTCAATGAAATCATCTAGTCGGCCAGAATGTACCAGACTTGTAACATCTTAAACTGAATACTTTAGAATTTTGGTGATATTTTTACTTATGTTTAGTGATTACATAATGATGCACTTCCCTTTTTCGGCCCAAGGGTTATTTTTCTTGTCGGGAGCGTGTATGAGAGGGTCGTTTTTCTCATTCTCTTCAACATACTCCCGCATCCTGCAACAAAAGGTCGTGTTATTAGAGATTGTGGGTAAACTCGGAGTATTTTCTTTGGAAACATTATTTTTGGCGATTCATACGAGTTTGCTTTTAGGAATGTTAAGGCGGCTTTTACCTACTTTGTTTTCTTTGGATAAACTTTTTCTTGTGTTCAGTTCTAATGTGTTGTTTTGGTAAAGTAGGTACATACTTTGATTCGTTTAGTGAATAAACAGATTTTGCTCTTATCTGCTCAGTTTTCTTTAAATATGTCATAAATTTTTACCCATAGCCATTATTTGATAGTAAAATTTATAGAACAGTAATAAATTTAGATGTTCATAGAACATTATGCATTTAAATTCGAAAATTATCAATATAAACGTTCAACGTTCTCAATCTATTCTAGGTCTGGTTTAAATTTTAATGAAAATTAAGTAAAAGATTCCATGGATAACATTTAATTTTTTACTTTTTCTAACTTTGCAAATAACACTTTCTTCGACACTTTCTCTCAATAACCTCTAAAAAAGATTTATTATCAATAACTAAATCGCTTGGGAAGCCAGGATAAGACACATTGAAGAAAAATGCAAGGGACCTGATAAAATCACATCATGCCCATTAATCATATGTGCCATGATCAAAGCTGAACTTTTTCTATAAGACCGAACCGACTATATTTGATTTACCAAATACACATAATATACAACGAACATAAGTGGTGACGATGCAAAATTTTTAGAACAGGATTACGTAACAAATATTTTGGTTAGCCTGCCTTATCATCTCTGCTGAAAAAATGTTTTGTTTTTTTTTACAAGAAATTATTTTTTGTACTTTTGATCGGTTTAGATACATTTTTATTAAGATTTTAACTTCTTATAGAAAAGTTCAGGAGGAATCATGACAAGTCATATTATTAACTGTTATAGTATAGCTTAGTTAAAGAAACGCATGTCCTAAATACAAAACACATCCTTAATATTAAAAGTATCTACTCTCTCTATTGAACATAATCCACCCATTTCCTTTCTTCTCATAGTAATTTTCATTCATCATTGTATACATACATATACACATACATCACACAGTTCTTGCTATAAATAACCTTTAACAAAATCTTCCAAATGTTACCCATAACAAAATCTGAATACACAAAGAGAAACATTAATTAATTAGATAATAAATCCAATTAGATGCCAGTCCACTTGTGAATTTTCCATTTCTGTGATTCAAAATGGTAATGACACTAATGTACCTAACAAGATCCATGAATATGAAAATGATTTTATTAAAGTGAAGTAGGTATGAATAATAATTTATTAAAAACATTTTGAAATGCTTGAACTTCTAACTAGTACAAGTAATACTCAAGTAGTAGTAATATAGGGAATAATAACGAACGGTGTCATTCTTATTCCCTATATTAGCACTTTTCAGCATTTATGTTACAAAGTACCTCTAGTTCCATTAACAAAAAGAACTAATACAGAATACAGGCCCAAATTTTAAAAATCCAACGGCCAGTTATGTCAATCGATGTTAATTTTAGGTTATAATAGAATTTTGATGTAAGCATCTGACAAAATTTGGCACAATTATATCTCTTCTGGGTAAATCTATAGATACATAAATTACTGATATTAGTCGTAAAAATATAAACCCAAACCCAGCAATTTACTAAGATCTGATTTTTCAATGGTTAGATAAAAGTCACCTGGGGAATAATTTTGATGCTATCGCGTCAGACTGTTTGTATCAGTGACAGCAACAATTTTATTCCTCAGAAAACATTTATCTAATTATTGAAAAATCAGCTCCAAGAAACTCAAATTTCGTCCATTTAAAAGCAGTCAATCACAATCTCAACACTTTTATCTGCATCGTCCAGTGCACCTTTCCAATCGACCTATCGACTCACCACTTGAATTCAATTTTAGTTCTATAACGAAGGAACTCTTCAACAGTATCAATTAATACTAAAAGTTTAATTAAAGGAATGCCGTCTGCAAAGTTCTCAAAGGAGTACACTTTCATAGCATTACAAGAGGAATTTCTTTGTGGAATGTGAATGGATGGTATTAATAGATGGTTGTAGTGCCCGGTGTTAGAAACTTTGGTGCTTAATTATTAGGTTGCATACCGTAGAACGATTTATTTTGTTCTAAGGAATGAAAGAGAGGTTACGTTTTTTTGAAAAAAGAAAATTCTTCTAATGCCATTTCCCGACTAGATTGGGTAAGACGGTCAGAGTCATACACTAAAAACCACACTGTTCACACTGTTCCTTATCCTGCACTGGGTTGAGTGCATAAGGTTTTTATCACGAGGTCGACCTTAATTTTCATCTCATGGCGAAACACAATGCTGTGGTAGTTTCATTACTGTTTTCCGTGAGTCCGGGGACCACTCGGCTCGAGTCAATCCATTCGTGTCAAAGCATACCTCTCCCACTAAAGAATATAATAGTATAAACTTTTTTATGTTTCAAGTAATCGCAAGTGAGTCTTTTGTCATCCACCGAACAAAATGGCAGACTCCGTGATCTCACATACATTATCGAATACAATGTTATTTGAACCGACGACGGCTTAGAATCCAATCTCTGACACTCATATCATAATCTGAATGATTCAACCTATTGTAGCACTTGCTTCAACCAACCCTCAGCAGGGATAATTGGCATTATATTAATTCAAAACCATCAGTTAACAAATTCTATCAAACAGAAGCCTACAACGAAATCTAAAACATGAATATATTAATCTCCAATCTCCGGACCTTAATTAACCAATAATAAACCTTAACAATGTTTACATAGAAACGAGATTAAAATTCATAAGAATATTTCTATTAATTTATAATCGTTTCGCAGATTGGATCAGCCATGATTCAGGTGGTATGTAAATGTAGTTGATTTTGGAAAACGAATTTTAGTATAAAGGAATAAAGGTGTCTATCAAATGTGATGTGTAGCGATGGACGTGTGATATAGGATGATTTGATTTCATATCGTGAGTTTTGCCACCTTTGTGCCTTTGTACAATTATAATTCAGTGGGAGTATTGTTACTGCCCTAATTGGCAATATGCGAGGGGATTCCACGTCGCTTCTATGTTTTTGTTTTCGTATGTCCTCCTATTATAGGAAGGGACAACGTTGAGAAACTTTTGTTAGCTATCTATATTGTTTTGTACTAACTGTTGAACTGCTTGATTGAAGTTTATTGCGTTCGCGAATGTATGACTTTGTTTTTAATTTATACTAGCTATACATATAAATATTATAAAGCTGTATTTGTTTTTTTTTTATTTAAACGTATTAATCTCCGGAATCTACTGGTTAGAATTGAATAATTATTTTTGTGTTGTATTAGTAAATTTATTGAGAGAGGCTATGAAACATCACATTACGAACAATAGCACACGACCAGCAGGTTCAATCACATGGGAGTAGTTAGTTTATAATACAAGTGATTGACGAATTACACTCCTGTTGAAAGACACTTCAAAAAAAAAGAAAATCAGCAAAATTTTTCAACTGTGTGTTAGAAAATTGTTTTAGCGACAGTTTCACAGCCTTAATACAAGTTCCCAATAATCATATAAAGCACATAGCTGATACAAATTACGGTCTACATTCAAATTAGTATGGTACACAGTGGCTATTCAGATAATATAAACAGGCCCTTAATGCGCTGTTAACTATACAAAAACAACTGAAAAGAGAAATAGTTTTAAAGAGCTTACAGATGGATTAAACAAGCTTATTTTCACGAGTACACAGAAAAATAACTCGAAAATATGAAATACGAAAACAACTTTAATATTAGTAAAAACGAATCAAAATAAGTGAGTGGATAGGTAGATAAATATGAAAATAAAACATTTGGATCAAAATCCGATACGTTCCAATATCTAACAATTTGAATATATCTTCATAAATACATAATGATGTTCGCGAAAAACAAAAATTCTCTTTCGCCGAACAGATCTTGTTATATCAATGTTTTGAAAGCTATCCTTCCACTGGTGAATAATTTATCAATGTCCACCCTAAGGATGACGCTTTACGTTTCCATCTTTTTGATATTATCCTCCTTTTCTGAGAATAAGCTTAAAGATAGTCCCGAGTTTAAATTTTGGGTGCGTACGCAAAGTTGTTTTTAATTGTCGACAGAGTGCGTTTTCAAATAATCTAGCTTTTTCTATATATTGAAAATCGAATATAGAATTTTGAGTTTCGGTTTTCTCAATAACGCCAAGCGTGACTGTTGATTAACATATTCTAGTTTGATTTTCTCTGGCTGGGGTTTTATGGGTCAGGCGTAATAATGCACAGCGGCTTCGGCCTTGAGCTGAAGAAGGAACGGTTTTTTACCAGTAAGACTTTGACACTATTAACTACCTCTCGCCCCACCGGGCGACAGAAGTCATGTGATGATTTTAACCCCTCTGTACGGTCTCATCGCCGTACATTTTTCTTGCTTACTCGTCAACCTACTTTCGGCCAACGAGGCGCCCCGCACTGCCGCATAATAAAATGAGATGACGGACATATTATAATATAGTAAACTTACAACTTAGTAGCTATCAACAACTAAGAGAAATAATCGCCTTCCACTGTTGTAATTTACTTTTACATAAATATACTTAACGTGTCTATTTAAGTGGAAAAGTGTTTCTCTACCTATACTAACTCAACTTACAAATCTTCACGACAAATCAGTGTACGGAGTTAACTATTCAATACCCGTACATTTATGGTCCTTCGAGCCTTCGTGTATTTTGGTGTGTTTGTGTCTCTAGAAACGGTAGCGAATCGGTCCAATTGGTCTCCCACAAGCGGGTCGCCCCAGTTGGATTGAGAAGGCGCACATACCTATTTAGAGTACAGGCACATTGAATACTGGAAGAAAACTTTCAACTAACTACCAGAAGAACTTCAACAACTAGAAGCTCTTCAACCACTGAATCCAACTACACCAACACAGCATTCGTCAACTAGAAGAACTC